AACAATGGGACCTTAAGGATCCATAACATTGCGAACTTTATGGGATCCATCCACTCAAACAATCCCAAACTTGGAGAAAATGGCATATAACCCTATATCTAAAAGAATAACACCTAAATATTGGAACTTGAGGACTTCCAATGGTTCAAAATATGTGTAATGACGTGATGATGGAACTTTTTTGCTAGATCTATGCTCAAGGAACACCTTCTTTTCCTTTAAGACACCAAAAGTCACCACTTAAGCTTCAAGAACACAAAAATGAAGGCTAGGGTTTTCTTGGGATGAAAGGGAGTTGATGGAGGCCGAGGGTGTGCAAACCCTAACCATCACATCCCTTAAATATGGGCACTAATCCCCAAAATTTAGGTTTTTAATGAAGTTTGCCGCCAGGTTGTGGCGCCCTAAAGGAAGGCACGATTCCAACAGGTGTCGCAACGTCGTAGTGCTATCATCACCACATCGTGGCCACTAAAAAAACTTATAATTTAAGTCTAAATTTTCAAAACCACAAAAAATTATACCTAAAACTTAGTTTTACAAAATGAAACATTTAACATTAATCGGTGTCCAATCATTCCATTAAACTTACGAAAAACACACCATTTGGATTCATTATCCAAACCTAAGTATGCTCTAAACTAGAGAATGTATTAAGACCATCAAGGAGAGTTATCATTCTAGCAAATTTGACCTCTTCTACCCCTTTTCCAATTCCAGTTCAAGTAACAACCAAATTATCCAAGATATGACATCTATATGAGAGGAGGCCAATGACATACAATATTTGCAACATAATCAAGCTTACTTGATTAGCCATTGATGGTATATATAACTAGGCTTTTGTAAACATGGGTTAGTCAATGCCTTTGAGAAATCTGTAATATGTTTATCTTTATACACTAGTCATGAACCGAAAAGTCTCACATGGAGATGGTCTAAAGTTTTGTATCAAGTTGCATAGATTTTGCTTCTTTGTTGACTTGGAGAGATTTTCAAGACTAAACCACACTTATTGAGACATTGCATCTTTCTTAAGGATAGTCGGGCGAAGATATTGGGGCATTAAACCATATAGCCAAAACTTTAGTATCTTGCCAATTTTTCGCCCTTTGCTATCCATGATTTCACATGTGGTGATGTCATAAGCCTTGGCATGAGGTGGTGGTGGATTAACGGACATTACTGTTTAGGTCGTGAAAAGGTGAAGAAACATGTAGGACTATGGAGGAAGAAAAGAAAGTATGAGAGATTTGGAATTAGACTCTACTACCATGATAATCAGTATTTTCTCTTAATTGGAATTTGCATTATAATTTGGGAAAAAATTTTGTTATGTGTTTAATTTTATATATTATATATTTATTAAATAACAAGGACAATGTAGATCTGTTGTTTATTTGCTTTTACTAATGTTAGTCGACTAAGTCGAAATCAATGTACAAGTTTTACTAAATATAATATAAATTGTGAAATAAGCATCTTTCTAAAAATAACAAATTTGCTTAATAAAAAAAACCTCATATTTACATTTTTCTTCCCTAATTTTTTTATTAAACAGTTTTATCCTTCATAATTTTAAATTATTGGTATTTTTAAGTTATGATTTTGATCCTTTACTTTATTTAAAGTTATATTTTTGATATCTTACATAATAGTATTATTGTAGTTTTCATTTTTATTAATATTACTTTTTTATTTGAATGTTATAAACTTTTACAATATTTACTGTGGTATTAACTTATAATATTAATAAGTTCAAGATCCACTTTTCAAATGTATTTTTGTATGCTTTTTCCATATATAATTATTTGGTTCGAAATCTTATTTATATTTTTATGGTCCACTTTGTAAAAATGTTATTTATCTTCTCTGTCGTAACACGCTCGGTAATAAAATACTAATTTTCATAAATTTTATAAAATAAAAATCAAAGAAAAAATGATAAGAAGTTGGGCCAACCCATACCAAAACCTCAACTTACAAGTTACAAAGTTAGAAGCACATGATGTGTTCGGGTGGGAAGAAGTGACATGACCCTACCAAAAAGGCCAAGACATCCTTTTGTTGGACACTCACCCCACAGAATAAAGGAAAGAAGCTTTTACACAAACTTGTCAAAAGAAATTAGGTGCTTTGCATTTAGTTTGTAATTGTATGGTATTCATTGTTTTCATATTATCTTAGTATGATTTGAATACTGATAGATTTCAAATCATCATATCAGTTTGATTTGGTTTAGTCAGTTTAGAAAAAAAAATTAAATTCAACTTATTTGGGCCGATTTGTTGGTAGTAGTGAAAAACCGAAGCAAAAAAGTAATGAATAAACATAATATTATTATTATTATTATCATCATCATAGAATGCAAGTAATGTTGACATTTATTTATTTATTAGGAATACAACAGATACAACAGATTTGATAGTTGAAATCGATATAAATCGACAAATAAATGACTTCAAATTAAGCTTTTGGAAACAAAAAGTAATGGCTAATATAACATATGAAAAGTCTTAACTTAATATGAAATTATCACAAACTTCTGTTTTTGTGTTTACACAAACTCTTAACTTAATATCATTGATGTGTCGATTGTAGTTCGATATATAATATATTATATGGATTTAGTTAATAAATCACTAATATTATTTAATATGATTGTTATTGTTAAATAAGATTTTAACTAATTCTTGATATTTGTTATTAATGATTTGTTAGGGGGCCGCGTTAAGGGGAGGGTAAAGTGGACAATTGTAGCTCAATTTTTTTTTTTTGCTCATTTTTTTATTATATATATAATAACGATAACAATTTTTTTTTTTTCTGACTCGTTCAGAGCATTTAAGGATATTTAAATCTTCAGGATCAACCCTGTAAATAACGAAATTATAACTATTCAATGACTAAAAACACTATTTCGCTGATCACATTAGTGTTAGTTCGAACCATTATCATCCTATTCATAAAAACATACATTATTTTAATAAAACTGTTATAAAAACCCAAAAAAATGAATTATATTATAAATTATATTACTTTCGGTTTCAAAAGTTATGAAGGAGCACAGTAAACAAAAGATATAATGGAAAAGCATGGAACCTTTTATTTTGCAAATAAAAATCCTGTTGACCATACAACTTTATTGATAAATGATGTGTTATCCATTCGTAATCTTATGGATTAAAAAGGTTGAAGAATAATTACACCATAATATGTACATATCCTAATAAATTATTTTTTATATATGTATCGTGTACAAAGTGACAATCTTTTAATGTCATTCCTTTTCCATAATGTGACAAGTAAAGCATCATATGGTTGTTGAAAAAGAGAGGCATTTTCATGTATGGAAAGTGAATAGTAAAATAGAAGTGATATAAAGAAAATAATTGAAGAGAGATGGGTGCATTGCATAAGCCTTTAAATTCAAGCATTCATTTGGGGCACTTTTTGGTACTTTTAATAGAGACAAGTGTTGAGAGATTTCTCACTCAAAGGGACCAATCAAGAAACATTTATGTAATAAGAGTTAACACATACTAACCATACATCATCCATCATATAAACACCAATATAGTTATTTGATATTATGAGAATATCAACCAATCATTTTAACAGTCAATATATAGAAGATAAATCATAAAAGGAAATGATAAATTGAATCGTCTCAAGTCTCAACAGCATAAGTTAATCCAGGTTCATGTGGAATGTCAATCATGGAATGCTAAATATTTTGGAGGTGTCAAGATTTGAACGGTTGACCTCCTATGTGGAATTTCACTCCTTACACACTTGACTCCTATCCCAAATGAAAAGGATAAATCATAATGACTATAGATTATGGAAGATGATGCCTAAATTTTGAATCTAAAACCTATCTTACTCATTTTCACATTTTGATATCTTATGCAGGGACAAATTGGTGATATGTTATTTTTATACTAACACTCATACTTTTAAGTGTTTTAAGTGTGTGGTTTCTAAAATCAAAGGTCTGAGTGTTGAAGTGAATTCCACAATAGATTATCAAAATCGAGGATTAATACCGAAAAAACATGTCTTATTTGGTAGGAGTTTTTGAAAGACGTTGGGAGTTTATAACTTTTAACTTTTATGAAAAAAAAACTCAAAAAAAATAAAAAATAAAAAATATATAACTTCGTTTGGCATCAGAAATTTTAGTTTTTTCTTTTAAATAAAATGTTCTGAATATAAAAGCTACTTCAACTATCTTTTCGGAACTTTTAGTTTTAAGTTTTTAACTATTTTTACATATTTAAAAGATAACAATTATTTTTGTCAAACATTAATACATAAATAAAAGTTATAACTTCTAGTAACAAGTTAGTTTTGTTAAAAACATCCGACATATAACGAAACTTCAAATCAAAGATTTTCTTATAAATCCCTGTTAATAGTAAAAAAAAATAGTAAATATCCCGTCGTGGACATATGTGAAATTAGGGTTTAGTTTGAGAATAGATTATATATTTGTATTTAAGGTTAAAAAAGATAGTAAATATCAAATATATAAGTTTGAGACTTTGAGTGATCTCAAGTTTAATGTAGGGCATAGTTAGTAAAAATATTTATTGAAGTTGGTTAAAGTTGGGCTTTCATAAAAATATTGGGCCACCAATGAACAGTCCGCCATCAATGGTAGGCCTATTGGCAGTTAACTGAAGTCTGATGATAATTGATATGTCGTCGTCGACTGAATTTAATAATGCAATCGGCTCAAAGTTTATATAACAAATATAAAGTTGGGCCATCAATGAATCATGATCATGGAAAATACTTTACATCAAGGGTATGTTTGTCTTTTAATCATGGAAAATACTTTACATCAAGAGTAAGAGTTTAAAGTTTTTATTTTAAACAAAAAAAAAAACTTATAATCCAAGATGAGGGCAAAACGCAATTGCTTACTCCTCTCACTACGACCAATAAGAAGATAAATCACAAACAAAAAAATGATAGACCAAATTTGTGCATATACAATTCTTAATAACTAAATAGTATATCATAACAAAAGAAGTGGAAAACATAATTACATTGAAGTAAAGATTTGGTTTTTAACAAAAAACCAACAATAATCAAAATTACATCTTCATAAATATCAATACACTGACAAGTGTCTATACTTTCTTTCCTAAATGTACAAAGCACATAACCCCATAATCTTCAATGGAACAATTGAAGAACCCTAAATTGCTTCTACAAACAACACCATCTTCTCTATCTTTCCTCTCTATTTACAAAAAAAGTTGATACTTTCTACAAATTCCTCCTTGAAAACCCTTCATCTTCAGCATCAGAAGTAAATAAGGCAACCGAAATGGAAGCCAGTTTTTTTCTATCCAATCGAGAACGAGCTACTCTCAATTGTCTTGGAGCTCCAATTTCATCAAACTCAAGTGATGATGGTTCTATGGTGGATCGAAAAGCAGGGACCTTTTTTGGTGTATTATATTCAAAATGCAGTTTCTTTGCTATAATAGCCTGTAAACATTAATCAATATAGAAATTAGAAGCAATATCCTAAGAATGTGTCTTATACTTATTGTATTTATCCTATTTATGAAATGCAATAATCAAATTGATCATTTATGAAATGTGAATCGAACTTACAGCTTCTCTAATTGGTTTAGATACATGAAACAGCCTCTTCAGATCATCATGGTCTACACCACACAAGACCCTAATCTGCAAAAGCACACACAAACACAATCAATCCCTGAAAATTCGGGATCAATTCGAACTAAAAAAGCAGTCTTTAATCATGGGAACTTACGAGAATATCCTGAGGGAGAGCTTCCAGCAACGATCTACTGGCACTAAAACTGTTTCCCATTGATCGTTTCTTCGTGGGCGAAATCGTATCGATAGAATCAATATCCATTTCGTTCAAAATCAGAATCCTCTTCCTACCAAATGAACTCGTGCGTTTTACTAACCCTAAGCTGTAACTCCTACCCAATGCCATTTTAATCCTGATAATTCCATCAGAAAAGATCAGAACTGCGAACAAAAGGAAGAAGAAGAAACCCTAAATCAAATGGAAACATAGGATTATATGAACGAACCTTGTTTTCAAATGGGGGATATGAACCCTAATTTCTTGTTGTCGTAAATAGGGATTGCTGTAACGGATGTTCTTCAGAGGGAAACAACACCAAATCTGCAAATGTTGTGGAGAGGTTTAAGGGTTTTTTGTTATGAAGATAATATAATCGAATTTGCTTTTTTTTCTTTTGAAGTGCGTGGAAATGACGAACTATTCTGTATTTTCACGTTTATGTGTTTTATATTCGAGTACGGGAAAAGTAGCCGTTGGAAATAGAGGACACGTGTGAGCGTGTCATTTGCTGGAGGAAGCTTCGAGGTTGTGGTTTTGCTGACGTGGTGGGTTTGGTCGGTTTTGAGTCGGCCGCCTGTAATTTTTCTTCTTCAACACGTTTACAGGAATCCTATGTGATTGGCCGAATAGGGATGCGACACGTGTCGTATATTGAGGTTCAGATGTTGACACGTGGTGTACAGTGGATGGACGGTGAAGATTTAGTGAAGGTGGAAATGTGGAGTCAATCGTGGTAAGTTTGTTCTAATTATTCGGCTGTTTACGGCTTTTCACAGTTGACCCACGTCAAACGCGGTTACCCACAGCCGGCAAACAGAATTACATTATCATGTCCAGTTGTACACAAATAAATGTTTTAAAAATACAAATTTAATCAAAAATATTTTTTAACTAACTTATTTAGACAAAATAATTTTAATATTTAACAATCAACTCTGATGAAATGATGAAAATGTGGTCAAGGAAAACAGCGTTGGGTTTAAATTATTGTTAATAATCCATTTCTTTTCCTTTGATAACTGTGCGATGATCCTTTTGAAATATAACAATATTTATTACTGGCTCTACGTTTCCAACATTCGTTTCATTATAAGTTAAATAGCTTTGTTGCTGTTTTTTATTTTACTTCTAGGTTTATATACATGTTATTTTATAATTGTATTCAACTAACAAGCAGACTTTATCAATAATAATTATAATCGAATGCTAAAAGTAAATTAAATATAGTTAGTAACAATGTCATGAAAAAACAATTTTGAGTGATAATGGATTTGAAAATGGGAAACCGAAAAATGAAAATGGGAAATCAAAGTGTGAGAGGTATAATTTCATCAGATTTGATGGAGAACAACTCTTCCATTGCATTCTCAGATTCCAACAATTCGATCTATGTGAAAGTTTCGCTTGACATGGATTTGATTTGAGAACCTTTTTTATATGAACCGGCATTTATTGTGGTGAAGTTGTTGATGGTATACAGATAGGTGATGTCGAAATTGCATGATAATGTTTTATGTTGCATTGATGGAATTTTCTGGACGTGTTTGTTAAATGTGTTTGTTAAATGTGTTATTTAATCTGGGATTGGATCTGCTCTCCCCTTTTTCATTCATTTAGATAATCAATATTTTTATCATCAACTTTAAAGATTTTTTAAATTCTCAAGCCTCATTGGTGCAAGGGCAAATACCATAAAAGCCACTATATTTTCACACGTTTTTGAAAAAAGCCTTATTATTTTTTTTTTTTTGGCTCTAGCCACAGATTTGATATAAAGTTACCACTCTAGCCCATTAAACGATTTTCAAGTTAAATTTTTTTGCAAAATCAGTTCTAAAAGTTCAATTTTGGTCCCTGTAGTTTGCAAAAATTTACACAACATATCCAAAACTTGGTTTTATGTTTTTTAATTTCTTTATTTTCATTTATTTTTTTTATTTTTTAATCAAAGCTAAATTTGCTTTTATTTTTTTTATATTTTTCGTTCTTATTTCCTTTTTTTTGTTTTGTTTTTTTTTTTAACTTCTTTTTTTTTGTTTTTTATATTCATTTATTTTTCATATTTTTTATAATTTTTTTCGTTTTTTCTTTATTTTTGTTTTTTCATTTTTTTTTTTAGAAAACCAAAAAAAACTCAAAAAATCAAAAATGTAATATACTCTAATATATTGATACATTGTGCACTTTCTAAAAAGTTATCAAAAGAAATTATCAAATTGACAAAAAACAAAACATAACAAAAATACGAAAAAAAAACAAAAAAAAATACGAAACTAATACAAAAAATATAAAAAAATATATTCATACACTTTAAATTTTTTGATAAATATCAAAAAAAGTTTTCAAATTGAAAAAAAACAAAACGTAAATTTATTTTATCAAAAATAAAGAAAAACGAAAAAACGAAAAAACGAAAAAAATGAAAATAAAGAAAAAAAATATACAAAATATGAAAAATAAATGAATATAAAAACGAAAAAGAAAACGAAAAAAGAAAAGAAGTTAAAAAATAAAAAATATATATAAAAAAACCGAAAACAAAAGAACGAAAAATATAAAAAAAATTATAAAATATATAAAAGCAAGTTTAGCTTTGATTAAAAAATAAATAAATAAAAATAAAGAAGCTAAAAAACATAAAACCGAGTTTTGGACATGTTGTGTGAATTTTTGCAAACTACAGGGACCAAATTTGAACTTTTTGGACTGATTTTGAAAAAATTTAACAGAGTTAACCATGAAAATCGTTAAATGGGCTAGAGTGGTAACTTTATATCCAATTTGTGGCTAGAGCCAACCAAAAAAAAATAATAGGGTTTTTCTCAAAAACGTGTAAAAATATGGTGGCTTTTATGTTATTTGCCCTTGGTGCAAATTAAAACTTCTTTTTTTTTTGTCTATCAGGTGTTCAATAAAATGTTTAAATGAGTTTTTCAAGTGTTGAAACCATTTTAGGACTCAAGAAGATATGGAGTCTCTTCTCGGTGTGGTTTTACTGTAACACATGTTCCAGGTATTGATTTATTTTTATAATTTTTAGTGTTTTGTGCATGGACTCGGCGAGTTGGGGCCCTCCAGCTCGCCGAGTAGAGACTATTACTGGACACGGGGTTTGGGTCCTACTCGACGAGTCGGAAGGCCCTCACTTGACGAGTATGAGCTGTGAAGGAAGCCCCTAATTTTTAGGGTTTACACCATATTTAAAGAACTTATTGTGCCTCTTCTAGCCTCCCTTATCACCCTAACATCCAGAGAAAACCCTAGACCGATCTTGAACCTTCTTGAGTGATAGAAATAGCCTTTGTGAGTGGTTTTGGGGCATTTGTGAAGGATTCTAGAGCTTAAAGATGAAGGAGCAAGGAGAGGAGTAGTAGATCCAGCATCTACTTTGTCTTGACCATCATTTTGAGGTATAAAGTCGTCACATTGATCTCTTGTGTTGATTAGATCCCTTTTCTTGGTAGTAAATGGTCATTATTGGTGCAAAATGGAGTCAAGCTTGGATATGGACTTATCACAAGAATATGGTTCCAGATCTGGACCTCTCAAGGTCCCCAATGGCATAAAGTTGCTCACTTTATGCAACCTAGCCCTTTCCATGCACAAAAACCTTGTAAGAAGCCTAATTTTGGGGTTATGGCCTTGTAGGGCCTTGCATGCACGTAAAGTTTGCAACTTTACGTGGTATCTGTACTAAGGTAGTTTGGATCTGGAGTTTGGGACCATAGATCCCACCAAAAAGGGTCGAACTTGTTAAGGACTAAAGGAACTCGTCGAGTCCCTTAGCTGACTCGACGAGTCGAGGTAGGGTTTGCCTGTTTCTAGGTTTATGGATAAGTGCAACGAAGGATTAGGATTTTGGTCCGTTTAGATCTTAGTTTTCTGGACATATGATGAACTCGATGAGTCAATAGGGTGACTCAGAGAGTTGAGGCGGGACTCAGTGGGATGGACTCGAGAGGAACTCGACGAGTTACAAAAGGTAATTCAACAAGTTAACAAGTCATACAGGAACGCGACAAGTTCATAGGTACACTCGATGAGTTGAGGTCAACATGAACTGTTGACCTTGATTGTTGACCAGGGTTGACCAGAGTTTACTTTTAAGGTAATTATGGGATTATGACAGGCTAATGGTTATAGGCAGTTGAGGAGGAGCAGTGTGTGGGACATACCTGATTCTAGCTTGTCAGTTCAGCATTGAGAGGTGAGTCTTCTCATCGTACCAATGGGTCTAAGGCACCAAGGTCGACCCATTTTATGTTATGTGGATTGTTGATTGATTATACGTTATGATAGTAGGACATTTGCATGGAGAACCATGTGAGGGTTCCCGTGGCATTTGGTATAAGACATTGGAGGGTTTCCATGGCATCCTAGTATATCTACTTGTATAGTTTGCATTATGTCTTGTTTGGTAGTGAAGACCTTGTGAGGCTTCCCAAGGCAGGAAGACCTTGTGGGGATTCCCAAGGTATGAAGACCATGTGGGGGTTCCCATGGAAAATAATACCACGTGGGGATTCCCATGGCATTAGGTGTAAGACCCTGGAGGGTTTCCGAGACTTCGTTATATGTTGTATGCATGGCTTATGTGATATGTGTAGCTTTATAGCTAATATGATATGTTATATGTGGTTGTGTGTGGGACATGCTTTGGGGGACTCACTAAGCATTAGCTTACAGTTTGTGGATTTGTTTCAGAGGTACTTCTGAGCCCAAGAGCAAGGGCAAGGCGTGATGGTGCGACGTGCACTCTCTCACCGATATTTTATGAGACACTCTGACAGTTTAAATAAAGATGTAATGAATGTGGATTTGAAAACAATTATTTTGGGATTTCATGATTTATGGAAATGTGTTTGATTAATTAAAAATTAAAAATTTCTTTTGAAAATTCAGGCCGTTACATTTACATTGTGCACTCCAACCTTTTGTTGGAGTGTCACATTTTATTTTGGATTTCTGCTTCTTATTATGAGACTCCCCTTGAGGCTTTAATAAGTTTTGTTTGTATGTTTATGTTGTCTTCTCATACATATAGGAGCGGAACTTGGCCGTGTCCATTTCATGGGTTTCATTGTTGCTCGAACGGTGAATTAGGCGGTAAGGGGATTTCTCATATGATTTCTCATATCAAGAGCTTGCACCTCCATATGGATGAGCGTAAAGTTGTGTTGCGAGAGGCTATTTCTTTTGACTTTAGATTGTTTATTTTAGTGGGAGCAACATTGAAGGAGTTTGGTCAATGAATATGTGGGGATTGTATGAGTCTACATGCCCTAAGTCGCTCGTGTTGCCACTCAAATGGTCTTGTTAAATTTAATGGTGATGTTGATGACATGAGCGGGCATATTTTTGGTATTCAAAAGTCGTCACCCAATGAAGCGGATGTCGACCTCAATGAGGGGTTGGTGTTGGATGCTCAACTCCTTGATCCTGTGTTTAAGCTACCTGTCACCATAGTTAAAAGCATCCCTCATAATTGTCGTATGAATTTCTCTCATGATTTGAAAGCAATCCTTTCCAAGGTGGTTGCTCATCCCAATTTCGTTGAAGCGTGAGTTACATTGTTAATTCTTCCTAGGTGTATTATTCAGGTGTTCAGGCCCAAAAATAGGCAAGCCAGTAGGTATGGGAACAAGAAGTCCTTGCAACATCGTAACATCCTAAGTGCATTAGCTACTTGGGGTACAAAAGACGGTATAGCCAAGCTTGTTAAAAAGTTGGTTGACAATGCAAGGCAGGAGCAACAAGGCAAAAAAGAATAGTACATTCAGAAGGATAGAACACGGGGTGACAGCAACGTCAACCAATGTCTCCGTAAGGTTGCAAATGAGCATTTCACAACATCAATGAAAGTATTATGTTCCTCGAGGGTTTCTCCATATGGAGATGCTAACACAAATCCATTAAAGGATAAGCATCCACACAACCCACCACCATCCATGCTGAGTATCATGTGTGCAATACCTTCCCTTGTGGTGGATATTATGTCCTTAGGGGCATTAAATCATTCCAAAAAGGAACCTCGTGTGGAGAGAGATGGTTTGAGAGCTTAACACATTTTAGATGTTCTTTGTGGAGAAAGTTCAACTATAGCCAAAGGCCTCCTACGTGCTATTACATGTGTGGTTAATCTATGGCGAGGGGGAAGATGCCCTTCGAATTTGGCATAATTTGTTGCCTCTACTCCTATTACACCGCTCTTAAAACCTGACAAAGGAATGCGACCTATTGCACTAGGCATTATATGAAAATGTTTGGTTTCCAAGATGGCTATGAAAGGTGTTGGTAAATAAATGGACAAGTATCTCAATGATTTTCAGCTCGGAGTCGTGGTGTCGGGTGGCGTTGAAGCTGTATTACATAGCGCTAACAGGGTGTTGAGTGAGCGCCACATGATGGGTCTCTTTCCATGCTTATCATGGACTTCTATGATGCCTTTAACCTTATTGACAGATCCACATTACCTCGTGAGGTCAGATTAAGGTGGCCTTCTATATCATTGTGGGTAGAATT